TGCTATACATGAGATTACTGATGGGCCTGTGTTTATGTCTTGTCAGAGGTACATCTTACTGTGGATGGGCCCATCCATATGTTGCATAATACTACTGATGGGCCCAACCTTATGTTGTGACTCTATTAAATGATACTAGTGATGGGCCCATCTTTATGTTTCAACAGTGGTACATCTTACTGTTGACAGGCCCATCTATATGTTGTGACAGGGGTACAGCTTATTATGAATGATGTGAGTCAAAGTGTGGATCAGTGGTGAAAACCAACCAAAACCAACACAAAAGACAAAAAGAGTGAGTGGTGGTGTGCCTATGTGGTACCTAGATGGCAGAACCTGTTCTTTGGGTGGGCTTTTGTGAGCTATAACACTCAAAGACAAGTGCCGAGGGTTGGGGGTGCTCCTGACAAAGAAGGAGCAGGAATGCAAGAGAATGCAATAGGGTAGACTGCTGTCAGCCTACAGAAGGATGAATGATGACTTGATTCAATGCTCTGAGCTGCACTGAGCTCAGGGAGGACTTGGAGTGAAGTAGATTGATGATAGACAATAATAAGCAAAGTAGATGACAGTTAGACCCTTAATAAAGTCTCAACTATTGAAGCTGATGGAGGATTTACTGAGTGATGATAAAAATGCAAGCAAGAGGGGCTCTCTGATGTCTTCTTCTTTTCTTTTTTTTTTTTTTGCTATCTAAGTACAGTGATTTATATACAGTACAGGGGTGTTGCCTATGGAAAACAAGGTGCAAACACTTGGTAAGTGATTAGTAACTGATGAGTAAGGAATGTAAGCAATGGGTAATTGTCTTGGAAAGCATTGGTAAGCATTGGTAACGATAAGCAAGCCAAAAGGTGAAGAATCAGTAAGCAAAGTCAAAGATTGGTAAGTATTGGCAATAGGTGAGTCAAAGACAGTCAGAATGTCAAAGTATGAGTCAAGTAATGTCAGGAACTGGGAAAGCACACTGGAATTGCATTAGGGGGAGGCTGTGTATGTCACATCTTGAAGAGATTGCTTCTAGGCCAAGGTGGGATGACAGAGAGGCAGCACTGATCTGATGCCAATATAGTACATCCAAATGTGGACAGGGTGAGTTAGATGTCAACAGGGGTCAAGCTTTGGGGGTCTGTGGGGTGACAGGAGCATAGGGGATGGCAACTTTCCCCCCCAAACCATCCTCTCAGTGAAGCAAATAAAAACTTCATGAATGAGGCTCTGTTGGAAGGGAGGATGAAGGGGGAGTGTCTTCTGCTGTATCTTGCAACAAGGAGGCAAGATGTGCATCATACTTGTCATGGATGCAATCAGGGAGAGTGGAGAACAGTAGATTATACTGTAGCTGTCACAATCTTGGAAGAATGACAGACAAGACTGGTATGAAGACATTGCAGGGAAGGATCCATATGCTTCTTGGACTGGAGAGACTGAAACAACCACATAAGACCTTTCCAAGCAAATGAAAGACCTGAGGCAACCAAAGAATGTCCTCCTAGAGGTCACACTGACAAAAATAACACACTGTCCAAGCTGGATGGGCTGAGAGGGTGCAGACAAGGGTGGGATGTACCAGGATGCCTCAGGATGGAATCTAGTAGGATCTCCTGGTAGATATATGTAGCCATGGTCCCTAGAAAAGGGGACAAGCAAAATGATTGATGTGGAGGCAGCCATATCAGAAGAATTAGCAAAATGAGCATCTTTTGGAGGGAATGCTGTAGAAATGTGTGGAGTGTGCAAATCCTTTCCAATCTTGGAAGGTAGGATTGCATGGCTGAGCACTACAAGCAAGTGTGTGAATGGTCTCAGTATCTGCAGAAACAGCAAAGATATGTTGAAAATTGGAATGCCATACACAGGCACTTAAGAATTTTAACTGGCACTTAACTTGCTCCCTTTCTTTTTCTTTGGCACTGACAGCTCATTCTTGTGTGAGGGATGATGGCCAAGATTTCTGGCTGTCCTTCTTCACCTGAGGGCTATGGTCTTCATCCCCATTCATCAGCTGTATCCATGTCCACCTCACCAAACACCTTTGGTGTGTGACACTGCCTTGATGTTGTGACAGGGGTGTAACCTACCAGGATGGGCCCCTCCATGTCTTACAGCAACTCAGTATACTTAATTGGTCACAGGCCCATCTAAATGTTTCAACATCCTTACCCACCACAGGCCCTCCCATATGTTGTGGTAATGCACTTACAGGCCCATACATATGTTGCTCTCACTTTAGTCCCTCAGGCCTGTCCATGTGTACTGGCTAATCTATTTAGGTGGGCCCATCTTGGGGTCTATATAAGTGCTGGTGTTTTGGCACTGTATGAATAGGTAATAGATAGTACCTAGAATCAGTAATAGTCAGTGATGGGTGAGATTTGTGCTCAACCCAAAAGGGAGGTTCTCACTGGAGAAAAGAAGTGTAGTAAAAGTGTAAAAATGCGAACTGAAATGAATACTTAGTTCTGCCTGTCTAATACCTCTTGCCAGTCCTCCTGGCCCTTTGGGTACTCCCCAAAGTAATAATTCTAACTTCAAAAACTTGCCAAAATGTGAGACAAAATCACCCTACTACTGAGGGCCTGTGACATGGAATTTTTGTATGGCAAACTGAACTTGTGTGAACACAGCACACATGCTTAGTCAGCAATGCAGCTGCTTGCCACCAAGTCCAGTGGTACAAAAATGAAAACAAAAGCAAGAAATAAAACAAGTCCCTCAACCCCTAAACTCCTGACCAAGACAACTTCTCCTAGGGAACTCAAACCTGTTCCCTGCATCCAAGGGGTGGTTTAGAACTCAACTGTCCTTGGTCGCTCTCATCCTCACATGAGCATCCTCACCCTCGCACCTGCTTCCCTCAACTTCACCATGCCTCCCTCACTCTCTAACTTCTTGAACCTTGCACCTCCAAACACAGCTCCTTCCACCCAGAACCACCACCTGGCCTCTCGAACACGCACCCTGCTTCTCGAATCCCTCACCCTCCTCGCAGACGATCCCTTCGACCCTCAATTACTCCACAGCCCCCAAGTTCCTCGAACTGAATGACCACAGAGGTAACTCTGAGCATGCGAGCAAGTGAGTAATAAATCGAGTGCGGAGCGAGTCAAAGACTGCTCTTTGAGGCAGTCTTTGCATGAAACAGTAACGCGGTGTAATGCAGTGCTGCAGCTGGTACAGCGGAGGTTGGCCTTTACGAGGCAGTTTGACCACATATATGTACCTAAAAAAAACTCCTGCTCAGTCATGTTCTCACCATCCTTATATGCATGTGCTCTCGACTCCTGTTGTCCTTACGACAATCTAGCACATAAGAAAAGTGAAAGAAAATTGAAACTAGATGTCAGGGTGAGTAGAATCACCCGAAGACTAGTGCAACTCGGTTGAACAAAGTTGCACAAGGTAAAATTCGTATTTAAGAAAACTATATATCAACACGCTCACTGGGACTTTTGCTATACTGTCCTCTTCATTCTCATTTTCGCAGCCTCAGCCCTCTGCGCATGCACGCACTCAATTCCTTGTACTTTGTCTGGCACTTCGTCTGGGGGCCGAAGCCCTTGCGCTAAGTGTCGCCGAGCGACTTTGAGCCGTCCGTCTTTGCTTGCTACTTTTTCAACCCTAGACACAAAGAACACTGACGTAGTATATGTTCGAACTAAAATAAAACCCGTCACCTTTAGTCTGTAGACTCTCGAGCTTCCTTCGAAGATAGGACTTCGACCACGACGGGTGTAGGCACCAACTTCGTTTGCCATTGACCTCGAGAAGCTCTCACAGTCGAGGTTTGTCTCCACAATACAACAGCTATCTCCTTTCGCCAGTGAATCTTCGTGCTTGGAGCTGTTGCGATCGAACGCTAAACAAAAGCCATCGCTCTCTTCGTAGTCTATCCTAGAACAGCAAACTTGTAATTGAAACATCAAGAAGATGAGTAGAAACTTCAAGTGCTCGCGCTCCGCTTGTGAATCCATGTTGTCTTCTCCTTCAGTTGTCCGTGGTTGCGCACTGAACCGAGCTACAGTAGCTGCCATGAAACCAATTGAAGTAGTGAGTTGGAAGTGGTTCCACACTTCGTCACATATCTTAGCACTGCAGATTCGTAAGTAAATCGCCACAAAAACAAAAAACAAAAACAAGCGCTCAAGCTCTGTGCATGAACCCATGCCGCCTCGAACGTGCTGCACGCAACGTTGTCGTCCTAGCCAGCTCCACCCTTCTCCAATGTTCATGGCTGCATACAGAGCTCCTTTCGTGATCTTGTGTCGGCTCGAACGCCGTTCTCGTACTCCTATATGCAATTGAACTTGGCCACAGTCATCAGGTAGTCTGGAACAGTGAAGTCGTAAGTAGGGTAACTCGATGCAAACACTGAACAATGAGCTGTTGCGCTCGCCTTGTATGGTCCCAACATCTCCCGCTTGTGCGTCCTCTTCTGCCACCAAAGGCCATCGTTGTAGTTCAAACAGCATCCTTTGTGCTCGCTTAATTGTATGTTCATGCATCCTTTGCTTGAAATCTGTTGTAGACCCTTGCACCACGATCGCCATTCATCGTAGGTGTCTCCATTGAACGACCCCTCCTATTTCGCGCAGCTGTCGATCCGCGTCAAGCCTCGCTGTCGTCACTGGTGTTCGCCACCGAGGCTCCCAGCCTTCATCATCGAATGTCTCGTTCTCTTCGGCATTGCGCTGTAATGTTGGCGCTCTTCGTCTCGAGTACCATACCCATTCTCTCCACTCATCATAGCATCGCCATGCCGCATCGCATCGCTTTGCATCGATAGTCTGCTGTCCCTTCTCGTATGTCACTTCCCATTCTCGAACCCTAGCCGCCTGGACAGCGCTCATACTCCTTCGTATATATCGAGTTTTCCTACAACAACACAGTAGTAAGTGAAATGGCACAAAGTAAAAGAGAACAAAGGAGCTATTGAGCTCGGTGCGTGAATCTCCTATAGTTCTCCTCCATCGAATGACTTCTGCTGCTTCAAACGACCATCAACTGGTGGTGCACCGTAACACCATCGATTGGACTCCCATCAACTCCCGTGCTCGTTCGTATGTATTCGGTATCTCTAAACTCAATAGACTTTGCTCGTATTCATCACATAGTCCTGTAATGTCCCAGAAATAAAATGCTTCTCCACTTGCGACACAGAACACCTGTCCTTCGATTCGAAAATGGATGAAGGGGTGCTCAAGTCCATGTGGGTCAAATGAGGTGTTGAACGCAGATAGGATGGACCCAGCGTTGGGTGTGGGTGTGACATAGGGACCAAGTGGCTGCACGGAGCTGCGTAACCCGCAGTGATACTTGGTTGCAGCATGTATAGGAGGGAGAGCGCAGTGTGAGAACTTGCGGAGTTTTGCTGTCGCACTCTCGGGGTAAGGTTCAGGTTCACTCGATGCAGTAGAGGAGTAAGAACAAGGATTATACACGTCGAACGGCCTGTGCGAATAGGATGTTCGTCTGTCGACCTCCACGACGCCGGTGCCATTAAATACGGCACTTGCAGAACTCGTGTAGACGAGCCTACAGACACCAGCCGCAATAGCTGCATCGATGACGGCTCGGGTGCCCTCGACGTTGACCTTGATGTAGACGGAGGGGTGTTTCGTGCCTCGCTGTAGTAAGGTAGCGTGTACAGTACACATAGTGGCCGACGTGTTCAACATATCCAGCATGTCCCGATCGTCTACAATGTCTCCCGAATAAAACGAGACATCATGATGTCTCTGTACAATATCCAGCGTGGAGACAGGGTCTCCCTTCGCCAACTGTTCGATGATTCGTCGACCCATAAACTCACTTCGATCGGCAGTAAGGTAAGCGTCTTCTCCTTGAAGGGACGTGGTCGCAGGTCGTCCTGATCCGGACCTTCGTACTGTAGGCGCGTCGACACTCGAAAGTTCGTTGATACTCTGTAAAAATTCACATTCCCTAAAATGCGGTGGCTGTAAGCAAAACGGTCTAAGAAGATAACTAAAACTTGGGCTGTAGAGCCCACTCAGTGCGGTCTCGATACTCCTTGCATGTTGTGTATCCCGCCGCGACTTCAAATCTCGCCCTCGTGTTGCTACTCGTGCTAAGTCTTGTGTGCAAGTCCACCAAGTCGCTTCGAATTTGTTTCCGGAGTCATATCGTAGTCGTCGTACTTGTATCACTGTAAGTCGACACGTACTCTCTTCTAACCTGTCGTCTACTCTTTGTTCGTAGTCCATCGTAGACTCATGCACTGCGATTGCCATTCGACGTAGATATTTGTCTTCCTTGGTGGTCTCTGTCGTGCTCCGTTTCCTTCGGACGGCTGTTCTTGCCTTGCGCAGCCTTCGATCTGCATTAATCGCTGTCATCATCACCAGTAATCGCTGTAGCTTCTGTACGATATTCTGCAGAAATTTGTATTCCCTAAAACGCAGTAGCTGTAAGTAAAACGGCTTAAAGGAAAAGCTAAGACTTGGGCCTTCGAGCCCACTCGGCATGGCTTCGATGCTCCTCGCATCTCGCGCATCTGGCTGTGACTTCGAAAGTCGCTGTTGTAGATCGAACCATAGTCGTTGCGCTTGATTCGCTGTACCTCCGTGCAACCCTTGTTCGTAGTTTGTTGTGGATTCTTGAACAGCGATTGTGGGGATGTAGGTCGTACTTCGTCTCGTATATCCGTTTTCCCTAGAGTAGGATAGCTGTAAGTAAAGCGCGATGAAATCAAAGCAAAACCTTGAGCCATAGTGCTCAGTATCTGCGTTCATCACGCCTCGTCTCCATCGAACAACTGATCCAGTGTTGCGTGGCCTTCGATCCACGTCGGGTTTTGTCGTCACCGTTCGTACTACTGCCATCATCGCCAGCAGGTGTCGCTCCACCTCTTCGCCATCACCCTTGAATGGCTCCTTCTCTTCTTCAATCTCGCACTGTGACGTTAGCGCTCCTTTCCTTGGGTACTGTACCTGTTCTCCCCACTCGTTGTAACCTTCGACTGTACCGATCTCGCGTATCCATTCTGTATCCCGAGTCCTGTCGACACATAGTACTTGCACCATGCTACTCTTGCCTTCGTTCCGAGCTCCCGTCGCCACCTGTAGTCGTTCGTGCTTCCTTCGTACTTCGAAATGCGACCCTCCTTGTCCATAGTTATCGCGTACTCTAGAATAACGTAGCTGTGAGCAAAATAATACGAAACAAAGGCAAAACCTTGAGCCGTCGAATGCAGCAATCAATATCCTTCGGCTATCTCCCTGTTGAGGGACTTTTCTCGCCTCAAAACGCCATCCATCGATGTCAGAACCCAGCGCCGTCGTACTTAGATTGCTCGGGTGTCGTTGTGTACACTGCACGACTGCTTGTAACTCATCGTCGGGCGCCTTTTCGCTTTGTCCAGCTCGCTCGCCCCATTCGTAGTAGCACCGTCGTATCGCATCGCATATCTTCGCACCGACTCTCCATTGTCTCTTCTCGTAGGTTGCTGTGGTCTCTCATATAGCGATCGCTGGAACACCGGTCACATCTCGTCGTAGATAACTGTTCTCCCTATATAAACCTAGGTGTAAGTAAAGCATCCTGAAGTAAAAATGAAATGTCGAGCTATTGAGCTCGCTCCGTGTGATCCCCATGTCTCTCGCATGTTGCGCGTGCTCTCGTATCCTCGACGGTCGCGGTCGTGGTTCCAACGGGAGTCTCGGTACTCGTTCCGCAGTATGTTCGCGCGTCTTTCGTTCGTAGTATGTCATGGATTCCCGCGCTGCGATCACACTTCGTCGTAGATATCTGTCTGCCCTAGAATAACAAAGATTTAAGTAAAGCGTCCTAAAACCAAACTGAAACCTCGAGCTATCGAGCTCTGTGTCCGCATCCGTTGCGCTTTGCCTCCATCGAATGGCCATTGTGGCCTCGCACAGCTGTCGATCTGCATCAAGTCTTGTCGTTGTCGTCGTCGCTTGTGTCGTTGTCGCTCCTGTGGCTGTTGCTGTCGCTAGTTTCGAGCCTTCGGTCTGCTGTGTTTCCTCATAGATCGTCGTAGTCCCTCGTATCGCAGTCGCTTGGATGTAGCTTGGATGTCGTCTCGAATAGCCGTTTTCCCTAGTGTAGAATAGACGCAAGTCGAACGTTCCGATTTCGAAACGAACCTGTGAGCTGTCAAGCTCTGTACCCGCGCTCGTCGCGCATCGTCTCCATCGAATAGTTGATCTAGCGTCGCGCGGCCTTTGATCTGTGTCACGCATTGCCACCGCCGTCGTTCTTTGTACCGCGGTCGTCTGGGCATCATTCGGCCTTCGTCGTATATAGCCATTTTCCCTAGGACAGAGTAATTGTAAGCAAAACGCTATGGAATCAGAACGAAACCTTGGGCTGTCGAGCCCAGTACCCGCGCTCGGGGCACCTTGTTCCCATCGAACAGTACAGTCGATCTCGACTGGCCATTGACCTGCGCTAGGTCTAGTCGCCGTCGTCGCTATCTCGCTATTTGCTGCCGTTGTCGCTCTTGTCATCGTCGCTGTCGCTCGTAGTTGCGGTAACTTCCACATGGTACCTTGTTCGCCCCATTCTTCGTATCCTTCGATCGCTGCGATCTTGCGTAGTTGGCCTGTAATACTAGATGCGTCAGTACACAGTACTTGAGTGCGCGTGGCCACGACGCGCAGAGCGGTCACGTGACTCCGCTTAGTCAACACCGCAGGACTTTCTGCACAAGTCCTAATACCGAGTGCGCGCGTTGATACCCCCGACGAACTCCTGAATAAAATATATATTGCCGACACCGCACGGCCGCAGAACATTTCAAGTGCGAGGTCGTCCACTATGACGCTGCATCTGTAACATTAAACAAACAAAAATAAAACAGCTGATTGCGCGACTTTTGCAGTAATGCGCAGAAAATTTGCAGGTGGCTGTGCCCACAGCTACTGACTAAGCAGGGCACGTGCACGGGAGAGCGAGTGAGTCAGGGCTACACGCACTCCTCGCCCGTTCCTCGGGACTCGTTTCGATGCTACTGTACATAACCCATGTAATAATGGGTATTTTGCCAAGAAACGGGCCCAAATTCGCTAGGCCAGTGATGACTTGTGGCGCGGAGTGCGGTCACATGAATTTGCAGGTGGCGATGCCGTGGGAATTTCCCGAAGGAGCAATCCCGCCACCGGGCGGGAGGGGCGGGGAGGGGGTCGAGCATTCGAGCGGGCCCTGTGGGGCATCACGGCCTCGTGGATTGGGCGGGATGACTGGGGAGGGTGCCGACGAACTGTGTTCACGTCCTGCCTACGTTTATCTATTTTATCTGCCCTCCTAGCTAGTGCAAAGTGGTACAAGGTGGCTGTGTTAAAAATTATGCAGGGGTAGTATAAAAAGTTGCGCAGGAGCAGTGCTGCCAAAGTCGCGCAATCAGCTGTTTTATTTTTGTTTGTTTAATGTTACAGATGCAGCGTCATAGTCCACCCTCGCCGCGTGCTTCAACATTTCGACTTGCAGAATTTCTTCCGGCGGCTTCCTTCTTGCAATAACCTTCGACTTGGTACGATTCGTGCATTGCAACATTCCGTGTGAGTCAACAACCTCTTCGTCTGCCAACCTTTTCGCCTCCGGACTGCCTGCGAGCATTTCGAGCTCTTCGACCTTGACTCTTGTGGGCTTCGTCTGTTCTTCGAACCTTTCTGCTTCAAATTCGAGTGGAATCTTCGATACAAGTAACTCGTCCACCAACTGTTGCACCTCTTTGCTGACCGAGGGAGCTTCGATGGTGTCTTCTTTAAGACTTCGGTATCTTAATTCAAAAGTATCAGCAGCTAGTTGAGAATTTCGGTGAGAACAAAATGAAAAACTCCTTCGAGCACCATCACTCGTCTCAAATTCGAATGGCAACTTCGTCATGAGTGGTTCTTCCACTACTACTGGTTTGACCTGTTCGAGCTTTGCTGCTTCTTGTAATTCCATAGTCAATCGTTCGTTCGTACTCAAGGAAAACTCCTTTGTCTCAAAACCTGGCATTTCTGCCATCTCGTCGAGGTTGCCTGGGCTTGGGCCTTTGCTCCTTGTCTTCTCGGATGGACTCTGTGGCTGTGCATGACTCATCGACACCATCATCGGCACTTGCTCACACTCCATGTACTCTAGTAATTCCACAGACCCCTGCATATCAGTCGTCAGCGAGTCATGTGTAGAAGTAACTGGAAAACACTTCGTAGGCCATTGCCACTTGTCCGAACTAGGTCCCTGACTGTTCTGTGGTCTGTAGTAGTCTTCTGCGCTCGTTCGTGCTTGCTCCGAGCGAAATCCCTTCCGAAGTAGTCTTGTAGCCATGAACGTTACTTGTTGCATGGTGTGACGGTCGCAGGACTTGGTCACACTAGTAAGAGTGTTTCCGTCAAAAGGTCTCAAGCGTCGTTCGTCAGAACTGACCAAGGGTCTCTCGATAAAAAACTGCCCCCTCCTACCTACTACATGAGTCTTTATATACCTACATACACAAAGGACTGTACCAAAGAGGAAGTATCTATTGCACAGAGGAATGGGAGAAACGAAGAGCAATGGCAAGAACACTTGCCTTTATTCAGAACAGTAGTAGCGTTTGATGAACTTGTTAAGTTTTGAGAAGGGCTCAGTTGTCGAGTAGACAAGTGAAGAATGAATTGTTGGTGATAATTCAATAGGGATTGAGGAAGAAATCCCTGAGTTTATATACATGAGTAGATACACACGGACCAGTAGCATAAAAGGAAACTACTACTCAGTATAGTAACAAATAGTGCAGAAGGTCATGGAATATGACGTATAATATGATGTCACTATGACATCATTGTGGAGCTGATTGCTAAGGAATGTCACATGACAGATAACGTGTTGATACACATGTAATTCTAGATCAGTCTAGATGTCGGAACTATTAGAATATTTCCAACACTCCCCCTCGCTCTAAAATGGTAAGGTGATAAGACCCATTGACAAGCGATTAGTTTCGAACTTTTGCCAGGTTAACGATTTTGTAAGACCGTCTGCTTTTTGTTTGTCAGTTTGAACGTATTCAATACTGAACAAATTATTTTGAACACATTCACGAACGAAGTGCCATTGGACGTCGATATGTTTTGAGCAACTGTCCGATACAGGATTCTCATGCATATAAGCGAGCTCCCATATTATCGCAGTAAAGAATTAGTCTTCTCGGTCTTGAGTTTTAGTTCATCAAATAGCATTGAAAGCCATTTGATTTGTCTGGCAGCATCACATAAAGCCATATATTCAGCTTCAGTGGAGGAAAGTGCAATAGTCTTCTGTTTCCGAGATCGCCAAGAAATGAGGGAATTGCCAAGATACATGGCATAACCGGTAGTAGAATGACAGTGTGTCTTTATTTGCAGCCCAATCAGAATCTGCAAAGCCATAGATTCGAGATTCCAGTCCCTGAATAGTATAAAGCCAATTTTGGAGTAGATGCAATATAGCGAAACTATATGCAAGGCTTTATTTCGGATGATCTTCAGTAGGATTTGCCATATATTGAGACATGCGAATAACCACAAAGGCAATATCGGGACGAGTACCAAGAGCCATATAGAGTAACAACCCTATTATTGACTGGTACTGTGACCGAAGAGAAGATGTGGCTTGATAATCTGATGGTGCTTTTTCCGGTTGGTATCCTGAGGGTAATGGAGTGCAAACATTTCGAGCAGTCTCCATATTAAATCATTTGATAACCTTTTTGACATAAGGTATCTGGTCGAGATAAATTTCTTTCTTCGACCTATCTCGGTGAACTTGAATGCCAAGATATTCCTTGACTTCACCAAGATCTTGAGATTCCCATTTCTTCATAAATTGTTCTTTCTTGGCTTTAAGAAGACATTTGTCCGATCCTAGAAAGAGTCCATCGTCGACATAGACGAGAAAAATGATGATTCCAGCTTTGGATATGTGGATATAAATCCCAGCATCCACTTTTGAATGAATATAGCCCATGGTGAGTAAAGATTGATGTAGGGCTTTATTCCATGCCAATGCAGCTTGCTTTAAGCCATAGAGGGCTCTAAGCAACTGATAAATCTTGTGTTCTTGACCTGAAACTTTGAAACCTTCTGGTTGCTCCATATAAATTTCTTCATCAAGATTGCCATATAAGAAGGCAGTTTTAACATCCAGGGCTTCTGTTTCCCAATTCCTTTGGGCAGCGAAAGCGAGTAAGATTCAAACAGTTTCGAATCGAGCCACTGGAGAGAAGGTATCTTCAAAGTTGGTACCAAATTCTTGTGTAAAGCCTTTAGCCACAAGACAAGCTTTATAACGACCATCGCTTTTGATAGCGAAAACCCATCGACACTTTACAGGTTTCTGATCTCTGGGAGGATCCACCAAGGTCCATACTTGTCTTTCTTCAATAGACTTTAATTTGTCCTTCATAGCGTCGAACCATTTCTTTTGTAAATCGGGAGACAACTTGAGTACATCTTTATAATGTTCCAGTGATTCTTTGATTCGAGCAGCCAATGCAAACTCGAAAGGATGCATTTCCAATTGTTGGTCTGGCATGCCTTTTGGAGAATCAGGAGTATCCAGAAGTGGAGTAAGTGGAGAAAGAGGAGTTTCGGAGTAGTTCCTTGTGGATGTTCAGTCCACTGTCAAGGAACTGCAGGAGGAATCATTGCAGGAGGTAACCTCGGAGAAGGAGGTCTTCTTTCCTCTGCTTGAGATCTGATAAACTCCCTGGTTTGTTGAGCATGACGCTCAGCATTACAAATCCACTGTTGTGCTTGATCCTGATTTTGTTGAATATCTCTTTCAATCTGGACTGGAGGTCGATCTCCATAGATGTTTCCAGGACGAGATACTGGTATAAAACAATGTTTTGGACGAGGTTCTCTGTCATCGGCAGGAGGATGAGCTCTGCGAACATTACGCGAGTCTCCTTGAATAAATTCTGGTTGATGAGGATGCCTAAGATGAGGAGGGTCGACTGGTGGTACAGCAGCAGGTGCTCTTCTTTGTTGTTGAGCTTCAGGCTGGTCCACAGCTCTCTGCTGTGGGTTTGGTTGTGGTGGAGTATTAGGATGAGGTGGTTGCTGGTGATGAGTCGGCGATTGGATTTGATCAGGATCCAGTAACGAATGTAGGCTTTCTGTATCGGAAACAGATGATTCATGGTCATCTTCGGTATCGGGGTCAAAGGTTTCAGATTTTGAATGACCAGAGCAAAAGGGAAAAGAGTCTTCTACGAATTTTGCAGTATGAGAAAGAATAATCTTTTGTCCATGTAAGAACCGATATCCTTTTGTATTAGGCTCATAGCCTAAGAAAATCATTTCGACTGCATGAGGTTCCAATTTATCTTTTTGTTGTTCTTTGGGAACCCATACAAAAGCTTTGCAGCCAAAGGTGCGAAAATAGGTGATATCCAGGATTTTTCCTAAGAAAAGTTCAACCGGAGTCTTGAAAGTAATCCTTTTAAGAGGAGTACAATTGTACACATGAAGTGCACAGTCAAAGGCGAAGTTCCAGAAGCGTTTAGGAACACAAGCATGATGTCGAATGGTCCCAGCTTTTTTGGAAATAGTCCGATTAAAGCGTTCTGCATGACCATTTTGCTTGTGGTTGGTCGGCAATTGATAATTGATGGGTAATTCCACGCGAAGAAAGGAGCGCCTTGAAAGTAGAACCCATAAATTCTCCCCCTCGATCCGAACGGAGCGCAAGTAAATGATGCCCAGTAGTATTTTGCATAGACACCATCCAATTGGCAAAAGCAGTATAAGTATCGGATTTGTTGCGAAGGTAGAGACAGAAACCGTAGGATGAATAGTCATCCAAGAGGGTTAGATATATTTGGACCGAAAATAAGATTCGACAGGTAATTCAAGAAGGTCAGCATGAACCAACTCGAGAGGCTTGGTAGCTCATGTTCCATGATGGTTTAAAAGCTTCAGAAGAAAGTTTGCCCTGTGCGCAACCTTTGCAAGAGGTAATCTCCCCCTGTATTTGTATATCTTGTTTCAGGCCTAATCATGCGAATATGTCTGAGAACTGCTTGTGCAGGGTGACACATGCTGATTATGCCAGAGAGACTCTTGTGTATCCTTGACCAAAGGGCAAAGGACCCCAAAAGCAGTGGTAGGTGGAAGTGGTACACCCACAAACCAATGTAGAGGTGAAGTCGGTGAAGCTACTTTTGCTTCAAGGACAATCCTGGCCATTTGGTGCTCTGATAGTCTCGCCAGTAAGTGTCACTGTGCTCCTATACCATGTTATTGAGGAGTGCATTTCGTAGAACATAGTCGCTTTGAGAACAAAGGACTGTAAACGACATTATGTAGTGGTAGGTTACTGCCATTTTCCAGGCGAATAACCACTGTTCCTTGACCAAGAAGTTGAACCTTTTTTGTGCCTGCAGTAGAGGCCAAAGGTGGATTTTTAAACTCTCGATAAGTCAAGAAATCAGTTTTAAATGGAGTCACATGATGTGATGCTCCAGAATCCAACATCCATAAAGACTCACCCTTTGGTAGGTTCTTTTTTAGATTCGCATATGACATCGGCACACCCAAAGGGGTAACAGTCATAAGAATCGAAGGCATGACCATCGAACTGCATGGGTAAATACCCAGAGGCAGATTCAGTTGGGATCATACTCGATGTCTGGATTATGCTTTATAGCGAAATGGTTTACATACAGGATTTTCTGGCACAGATTTGTGAAATTGAGATAAGGACATAGGGCGATTCTTCTTTTTAGAAGAATTTTTAACTAATATGGATTTTTGGAGAGACTCTCTGTCTCTACTATTCTGTCCTCGAAATCGAGGGGAAGAGAGATTAAAAGTCCGTTGTTGTGCCTGAGATGCATCGCCATTATCCTTAACATTCCGGTTCTCCACCAAGTTCTTGCCAGCCAAAATGGAATTTCCCACTCGTACTGAGGGTTCGAGGGAACCACTTGTACATGTCCTGTCCTGCTCAGCAGGGGGAAGGGAAATCTTCCTTGGATGAGAGTCCGAGTACTTCCATTGCTTCGGTTCCTGAAGGGAAACCTCCAGCAGGTTGCAAGTTGTGGCTGCTTGGCGACAAACAGAACATTGGCACAGATTAGAGCTGGGAATGTTAACACGAATCTTGACTGACTCAACTTGATCCAGCTGGAAATTTTGAATTTCCTCCAGATACCAAGGAGCAAGATTTCCGGTTGTGACATCAACTGGATAATTGGGGGAATCCCCAACAGATTCCATTGCCATTGTTAAATCCTGGTGAGTTAAATCAGGATCATACATCTCGGTGTCAGTTATGACATGTTGTCCAAGATAGGTATTGAG